CGCAGCGCCTCCACGCCCGAGACATGGGCACAGTTCACGCAGGACAACCTGCTCCGAGCTGAGCGAGAGCGCCAGGCCTCAGCCAACCTGCGGACTCTCATCGACTCCATCCTTCGGGACACCGCCGAGGATCTGCGGCTGCAGTGCGACGCTGTCAACCTGGCCTTCGCGCGCCGCTGCGAGGAGCTGGAGGATGCGCGCCACAAGTTGCAGTACCACCTGCAGAAGGTGCGGCTGGCCTGTGCCTGGGCGTGCCCAACGCCAACAGACACGCCCATTCTGCATAATACACGCCCACCCGCAGAGGACACGCCCATCCCACTCCCGGAGACATGCTCTGCACCCGACACTTCCACTCTGGGACAAGCCAACCCCGCCCAGGACACACTCCCCCCCCATGCCCACCCCTGCCAGAGATACGCCCCTCCCTGGACACACCCACTACCAATGAATGACACGCCCCCAGGAACACACCCACCCTTGGACATGCCCGCCCCATCCAGTGACACGCTCACACTTTATCCAGGCTCTTGGTAACCTGACCTTGACTGCTCTGTCCAGTCAAGGCCTAGTCTCACTCCCTGCCTTTCTGCCCTGCCCACCCTGATGGATACCAGAAATAGGCGCCCATACCCCTCTGGACTCTCCTTTAACAGGTGTAAACTCAGGTTTCACTTGGGGGGTGGTCTGCTGGCATTGCCACCCTGAGTGGCTAACCGGGAAGCCTGTCAGTGTGAGCATCATGCAGAGTAGGCAGGAAGAGGAGGTTAGGGGTGTGGATGCCTTATGCCCCCCTGCCCAGTCCTGTCTGGCCAGCAAGGGCTGTGACTCTTGGTTCTTGGAGTGATCTGTGCTGCCTCCACATCTGTTGAGCTCTTGACCAGGGCCTAGGACCTGCTGGCCACCAGGGCTGGAAGTTCTCAGGCCAGAGCTAGAGTAGCAGCTGCAAAGCCCTCAATGGAGCCCTTTGGGTGCTGAATATGTCCCAGGGCTCAGGTGTCTCCAGCCAGAACTTAGACCTGGGTCGGGGAGGGGCTGGCCTGGAAGCCTCTGTGCTGAGAGAGGGCTCTGGCCTGCTTGCCCTGTCACAGCCTGGCAGGGGCTCATGATACTATCCTGCACAGACCCTGCAGGAAATCACTGACCAGGAGCAGCAGATTGCAGCGCTGAAGCAAGCCATCAAAGACAAGGAGGCACCTCTGCGGGTTGCCCAGACCAGACTGTATCAGCGCTCCCAGCGGCCCAATGTGGAGTTATGCCGAGATGCTGCCCAGTTCAGGTGCCTGCTATGACCTTGGGCAGTCCCTGGTACCTGGTGTCCCCCTCAAGCCTCCCTCGGCTTCAGGGCCTCTGTGAGCACCACCCCTAGAGAAGCAGGCTGCACACACCTGATCAGACCTGGACGTGCGTGGTCCAGGGAGGGGCCTGGGTGTCAGGACATGTCACCCTGGGCTGTGTCATCTTCCAGAAGGAGATTCAGGACCTGGGAGGCTGGGCTCCTGAGGCCACAGGGCAGAGGCCCGGCAGGGTTATCTGACATGACAGTGTGACCCATGTCCCTGTCCAGACACAGAAGGGTCCTGACTTTTGTTCCTACCTTACCAAGTGCCCAGTTACCTTTTTTAGCACAAGCGGCCCCTTCTTTGTCCTCCACTGTGCCTCAGTCTGTAAGAAACTGGGGTTCTCATCTCAGTTCCAAGGGTCAGTCTTTGTGCAAACATCAGGGATGAAGCCTGGTGAGTTGCCACTGCTTCTCACTCCCACCCTGCCCTGGGGCAACTGAAAAAGGTCCTCCTTGGGCTGTTTGAAGACGCTTAATCCATACTCAGGTCCCCAGGGGTCCATTGAGGAGGCAGCACATTCCTTTTCTTGTCTCGTTCTTATCTTGATTCTTGTTTTCCAAGCCAGGATCTTGCTATGCAGTTCAGGCCAGCCTTGAACTCACTTTATAGTCCAGGCTGGCCTCAAACTCACAGCAATCCTCCTGCCTCAGCCTCCTGAGTGCTGGGGTTACAGGCATGCACCACCACACCCAGTGCACATTCCTTTTCCCACAGTGCTGTGGGCCTCTTCTCTGGTAGGTTTCCCTGTGGGACTCTTGGGGTCCTTTTGTAGCATCTTGACCAAGACCTCCTGCCCTCCCACAGCTTCCCTCCTTTGAATCTCAGGTTTCATCTCTCCTTGCCTGAAAAACCAGGCAGTCTCAGGCTCTGCTCCGGTCCTCTGCCTTGAACCCCCAAAGTTCATGTTGCCTTCCAAACCCACAGGCTGATGAGCGAGGTGGAAGAACTGAACCTGTCCCTTGCCCTGCTGAAGGAGAAGCTGCAGGAGGCTCAGCAGGCTCTGCGTAACCTAGAGGACACCCGCATGTGCCTGGAGAAGGACATTGCTGTCAAGACCAACAGCCTCTTCATCGATCGCCAGAAGTGCATGGCCCTCCGCACCCGATACCCCACTGTCCTCCAGCTGGCTGGCTACCAGTGACTCGGGACTGCTGCACCCCAAATAAAGAGCACATTAGCTTTCTGCCTCTGTGTGTGATCCAGGTGGAGGCTATAGTTGCTGTCCACCTGTGCTGGTGTCTCTGTCCCCTATGCAGCCAGCAGACCCCACTGACCCACCCAGGGGAGATGAGGGGTCAGAGCTGAAGACCAAGAATCCCTAGGCCTCAGAGGATATGAGGAGCACATGTGAGGACTGGAGCTCCCACTAACCCAGCCTGACTGTGGTTGCTGACATCTGACCCTGGGCACGGCCACCCATCTTACCTCCCAACTAGGCTGGATTCTCTGTACCACCTCCAGTGGTCTCAGGGTATTGTGTATCAGTTGGGGTCATCACATTGCCCCTCTTGCCTGCACCCTCAGTCCCAGCCTCAGCTTTTGTGTCCTCGGGGTGGCCTCTCAGTCCACCTGATGTCCCTCCTGCTCCTGAGTGGACCCCACTTAGATCCTTCAGGCCACACCTCCAGTGCCCACTCACAGCCCAGCTCCATCTCCCTGTCCAGGGCCAAGATTCACAGGGTACATCGGCCAGGACACTGGGAGGCCTCCCCAGCATCCCTAGCTGAAGCCCAGGAAGGGAGCCTGGACACACCTCAAGAGCAGGGGTGAGGTGGTGTCTCGTCAGGGCTGGTGCCCTCTTTGGGGTATGAGTGGCTCAGGGAGCTCCAGCCTCCTGCTTCCTGGAGGGGCTCCTTCCCCGTAGCTGCCAAGCCTCCAGCCTATGGCGCCTATCCCCGACCTGCGACCCCTACTCCTGGCCTCTACAGGGGCAGTTAGTGTAAGAGGCTTCCATTCCACCCTCCAGTGAGACTATTCTGGAGCAAACATCACCTCTGTCCTTACGGAAACCATGCTGCTTGTCACAGCTGTTGGTCGCCACGGCAACAGCCAGAGCCTGCTCTCATTCTTGCAGTATCATTAAAATTCGCACCGGGTACTGACACTGTGAGGCCCAGCAGTGGGACAGTCTAGGGCCCAGGGCTGGCAGACGCTTTGGGACCTGTGCACCACATGGTCTGGCCCCATGCACCCTGTGGTGGGAGATCAGTAACAGAGGTTGCTGCCATCCTACAAGCCTTGGGCAGTTAATCTCGTGTCCACATATCTCTTTAAAACCCCTGGGCCACCAGGCAGGCCCAAGGCTGCCAACTGCCTTTAGTCACTCCCTATCATCTCTCTCTTATTCAGGGTGGACATCTATCAGGACAGGCAGCTGGGGGCTCACTTCCAGACACATCAGAAGGCATGCCAAGGGGAAGGTGTGGATGTCCAGAGCCCCACTGCTTGTCTGGGGGGCGGGTGCTGGTAAAGCTGAATACCAGAGGTCCCTGTCCTCTGTCCTTGCTGGCCATGGTTAAGGGGCAGTGGTAAGTGCTTGCAAGCGGGCTCCCTCCCCCATCCCTGAGGTGCCCACCCCCCCCTACTGGGCTGCAGTCCTCACCAGGGCTCTCAGGAAGGCTGAGAGAATAGGATGGAAGATAATGACTCTGCCTCTCAGCTCCCATTACCGCCTCCTGGAGCACACGGTGCTCATCAGTGCCGAGGGCCCTTGAGAGTGGCAGGCTGATTGGTGGGGGAGGGGGCGCAGTGCACAGGGCCTGGTCCTGGGTGGAGTTCATTATCTTTGATGCTGGATGGGTGGCACGGGCGGGGGAGGCACCATGCTTGGTGTAATTCTAAGCACGTGGATTATTTTAACTGCTGTAGGCACATGGCAACCGCCATGGGTCTTTACCATCACATGCACTTTACAGCTGTGGAAGGCAGGGTGCAGAGGGTCTCTGGGTCTGCTGCACTCCCACAGCACCAGGTGGACGGGAGTCTCTGCCCCTGTTGGGATTCCAGTGCAGGAGGGAAGGGGAGCTGTGTCTGTGGGGCCTGGTCCTACAGATGATAGTGATGAGATTCTCCAACCAAACAGACCCTGAGCCAAGTGCTGGGCCACCAGGGGCCACCTGCCCTTACTGAATGTCCCCTTGACTCCCAGATTGCCCAACCCCTCACTCCAGTGATCATCCAGTCAGAAGCAGCTGCAGTGTACCCAGAGGCCCTTCTGCACCCCTATCTATTGCAGCTAAGTCCAGGAAGGCGCCTCAGCCATTGTGTCCTAGGAACAGTGAGAGTGGTCAGGGAGGATTCAGGCCTCTCCACAGTGGAAAGGAGGGTTGATGTCTACCCAGAGCTCTCTGCCCACACTGGCTCACACCCGTATCTCCTTGGACAGGAAGCTTAAGGACACTGGTCACCCTGGCAGCCACCAAGGCTTAGTGTCCTCATTAGGATGGGGTGAAAAAGGTGGGCTGCTCCTGACTGCTGCATATCACTCCTCCCTCTGCCACTGTGCCCCCGAAGGGACCCCTGTCAACAGCATTGTCCAGCTGAGCCCAGACACAGGTTACCCTACGCACCAGGGTTACTCTCAGCTTCCTTCAGTTTCCGAATCTGTGGAAACTCCTGACCAGGGCATGTGGTCACTCTTGGGTAGCAAGTGACTGGCCTAAGACCCACCCTGGTGCCCCCGGGTACTGAGCCCACCATCTATCTGGACTGGCAGTCTTGCCCAGCTGAAATGGGCACTGGTGGGAGACCACCACACTGCTCTCTCCTAAAAAAAGAAAAAAGCCCTTGCTACAAACTGTCCCTGATCTCTCCTTCACCCTATTTAGTGAGATATGTAGAGCTGGCTGTATGGAAACAAATGTTCCTAGCAGTAAAGATGCGGGCCTTACATACATCAAAACTATCTGTGCACTGCTAGTTGGAGGCCTCTGTGCCTAGTATGGCTACAAAGTTTCTTCTCCCTTTGCACTCTGTGGGGGCCCTCACCCACCTCCCTGATGTATACTAATAAAAACCATGAGCTTTTTTGCTTCTTTTTTGGGGGGGTGGGGGTCCCTGGAATCGAGCTCAGACCTTGTGCTTGCAAGGCAGGTGCTTAAGCTTTTGGAGAGGAGGCCTTTTGCTCCACAGAGAACACTGGGTCATCCCAGAGCTCCTCAACTGCAGAACTTTTTCTCTTTGCCTTTCTTTTGCATCCTTGTGCCGCATTGCTGGGTGAGTTAGACTGATACCCTCGTCGGGCTTTCTGTAGGCACTGACTGTCACGGACCATGCTCAGGCTAGCTCTTCCTGGACACTGACACTGCCATTTTGACTTTGCTGAGCCCTCCTTGCTGTCCTGGTCATTCTAAGCAGCTTCACCATTAGAGAAGGATCCTGAACTCCACAAGAGAGGGTAGATGCCTACAGTGCCAAGCTCCCTCTGCCGGCACCCTGGTCTTCCCCTACGGCACAGGCTGTCATCTCCACAGGTGGACAGCATGAACTTCCTGGGTTCCAGGTGGTAGCAGTCAGTGAGGGGTACAGATAGTTCCCCACAACACTGCAGAATCTCTCCTACAGGGGCCACAATACCAAGTTACATTCCCCCGTTGTCAAGGAGATGCCAGCAGTCACATCAGCCAGAGCCATTTCTGTCCTGAGATTCGTCATCCTGTCCTCACTGAGTCACCCTCTGTGAGCTGACCCACAGGGCGTGGGCACTGTCCCCATGAGGCCTGGCCTAGATAGACCCTCACAGGCAGGGTGCAGGAGCAATGGGCTTCTCCTTCGGCCACCAGACCTGTGGGACCCAGCACTCCTTCCTGAGCCATTCACTTGCTCCTTGAGGGCAATCCTTGCTGGCTCCACATGAGGACACATAGGAGAGCCCCTGCTCTTTAGGGGCAGCTCTGCTGGCGTTCAAGAGAGGGACTTGGGCCCTGAACATCCCTGTAGTTAGATGTTACTGTCCTGCCTGCTACAAGGGAACCTCCCAGCCACTTCCCAGCTGCCACTAGTATCCACCTCACAGAGGCAGCAGAGGTCTAGACCTTCCATCTTTCTCTGGAAGCCCCAGAACCCTGGGACAATATGAGGGCAGCCTCAGAGAAGCCCTAGTGTTGCCCCTACCCTCCCAGGGCCTGCAGGGATGTTGTGATGAGGACTTTAGACCCAGCTTCTCTTGTCCATATCCAGCTGGGGCTGCAAACTGGAGAGGGGTGGGTGAGTCAGCTGAAGAGACCCTGATCTTCACACCCATCCCTGTCTATGCCACCACGGCCAACACTGGGCAAAGACATCTAGGAGGGAGTAGGTGCTGTCAGACTTGCTGAGCACTGAGAACTGGTGTCAGCTGGTGTCCCCGAGGCCAGCAGTCCTGGCCCCCAGCCCTTACCAACCTCTGCTCTCCCCTCAACCTGCCAGCAGGACCCATAGATGGCCCTTTGGTCATTAGTGTGGATTCCCTCCCCCTTGGTCATTAGTGTGGATAGCAAGAGGCAGTCCAGCGGGGGAGCTGAAGGTTGGGAGGGCTGGTGGGGATGTCAGGGGCCAACCAAGCCAAACTGCATCAGCAGATGGGCTAAGCTGTCCCAGCTCCTGGGCCATGTCTATGGATGGCCCCAGGGAGTTGCCATGTCCCATGTTTGGGGCCAAGGTGCCCTCTCCCCTTGAGCCTAGGGTCAGAGCAGGAAAGAGGCTGGACCCTGAGTGGCATGACTCCTGCTCTCAGTGGACACAGCCCCCCACCATGACTGGGAACTGTGAGTCATTCTGGCTACCTGCTGCTGAGTGCTCAGTCCTGATCCCCTGAAAGACTGAGTTGGAGCCGAGACCTCTAAGGGTGTCATGGCAGGGGAGTGTGTGTGTGTGTGTGTGTGTGTGTGTGTGTGTGTGTGT